TCTACTCCAGTGCCACCACCTTGACCCCCTCTGGCCCAACCACTTGAGTCCGACCTCCCTATTGTCCTCCGGAAAGGTAATCGTTCTACTCATAATCTTTCCCACATTATATTACTTTGAGTTATCACAAGTTATCCCCATCCCCAATATACTTGTCTCTCTTTTATTTCCTTTGTGTCTATTCCTAAAACTGTAGGTGATGCCTTAGCCCACTCTAGTTGAAGACAAGCCATGATTGATGATCTGTGTGGTCTTCAAAACAATGGTACTTGGGATCTTGTTTCTTTGCCTCCCAGGAAGTCTGTGGTTGGATGTCGATGGATCTTTACAATCAAGATTGGCCCTGATGACACCATTGATCGACTCAAAGCTCGTTTGGTCGCCAAAGGTTATACTCAAATTTTTGGATTAGACTATAGTGACACTTTCTCTCCCGTTGCCAAGATAGCCTATGTATTCTTAGCCATGGCTACTCTTCATCGTTGGCCTCTCTATCAACCGGATGTTAAAAATGCCTTTCTTCATGGGGATTTGCTAGAGGAAATTTATATGGAGCAACCTCCTAGGTTTGTTGCCCAAGGGGAGTCTTCCGGTCTAGTATGTCGTCTCTGCAAATTACTTTATGGTCTTAAGCAGTCTCCAAGGGCATGGTTTGGTAGATTTAGTACTGTAGTCCAACAGTTTGGTATGACTTGAAGCAAAGATGATCATTTTGTTTTTTTATCGACATTCCACTGCTGGGTACATCTACTTGATAATGTATGTTGATGATATTGTTCTTACCGTGGCATTTCTCAAATAAAACATCTTTGCCATCACTTTCAAACGAAAGACCTTGGTAAACTTAGATATTTCTTGGGGATTGAGGTAGCACAATCTAAAAATGAAATTGTAATATTTCAAAGAAAGTATGCATTGGATATTTTAGAGGAAACTGGGCGAATGAGTTCCAAGCCCGTTGATACACCTACAGAAAATTGGTTGGAAAATTGAATTATCTCACGATAACTCGTCCTAACGTCTCCTTTGCGGTTAGTATGGTGAGCCAATTTCTCAATTCTCCATGTGCAGGACATTAGAATGCAGTCATCCGCATTCTAAAGTATATCAAAGATGCTCTAGGAAAAGGTTTATTATATGGCTACAACAATCATACTCAAGTTGTGGGGTACTCAGAAGCAGATTGGGTAGTCTCTCCCTCTGACAGGAGATCCACCTTAGGTTATTGTGTCTTTATTGGTGATAACTTGATTTCCTGGAAAAGCAAGAAGCAGAATGTAGTGGCAAGATCTAGTGCAGATGCAAAATATCGTGCTATGACCTCTACTACTTGTGAGCTTATTTGGCTCAAATAGTTGCTTAAAGAACTAGATTTGGCAAAGTTACACGGATGACTCTCATATGTGATAACCAAGCTGCCCTTCATATTGCCTCAAATCCAGTATTTCATGAGAGGACCAAACACATTAAAATAGATTATCACTTCATTCATGAGAAGATTTTATCTGGGGACATTACTACTCAGTTTGTAAACTCCACTAATCAGTTGGCAGATGTCTTTACCAAATCATTACAGGGTCTTAGGATTGATTATATTTGTAACAAGCATGGTGCATATGATCTATATACACCAGCTCGAGGGGGAGTGTTAGATATAGTTTTATCACATGGGCCTAGGCCCACTACTTGGCATATAAACATATCTTTTGTTTTGCAATACACAAGGAAATGTTCATTGCATATACCATTTCTCTCAACAAAAGCAAAGAAGCAAACACACTTGTGAATCACAGTTGGCTATCACATGTCAAAATCACCACTGGCTGTTGACAGTCTTGACACCACCCAAATAGATTACAGAGAGCTCAAGTCGACCTGACTTTGTAACACTACTAATTTTAACTTTGTGTATAGTTAAATTGTAGAATAAAAGAAATACAAAATTTAAATTGATATATTATACAATATATATCGTGAAATAAACAATTTCATTATAAATATAATATTTTGTTATAAAAATATTAATAATTAAATTTTTTATTATTAATACACAATAATTAAAAAAATTTATTCTTTTTAAGAGAAAATTAGTTATCAAACCGGATTGACCTGGACATAATCTGAACCATCATAAAATGCATTGGGTCTAATTTGAAAGCCGAAGCCCATCTAAATCAACCTCGGGAAGCCCATCCCAATCAACCTCGGGCAAGGCTGAATTAGCGGTTTGAGTTGGACCGTGCTCATTGTTATCAACCAAACTGAGAAATAATGGGAAAAGGCAAACCACACAGGGATCCCCAACCATAAGAACATCTGGAGGATGCTTACAACAAATCATATATATTGATGACATTTAGCCAAATTATGAAATTGCAAGAGAATAAAAACTGGACAAATGAAGTCTAATCAAATCTGTCCTAATCATGGAAATAAATATCCTCTAATTGTTGTAATTATACTACACAAGAGGCTCTTTTGTGGTTGCTTTCAAGATGCATCGTCAATGTGTTAAGTTGAATACTGTTTTATTACGTCTTTGATCATTATTATTATTATTATTATTGTTAGATATAATTTTATCTTATAGTCTTTTATCTTATAGTTTTTATCTTATGGGCCTAGGCCCACTACTTTGTATTTAAACACATCTTTTGCTTTGCAATACACAAGGAATATGTTCTCTTCATTCACCATCACTCTCAACATGGTATCTAGAGCCTAATCCTTGACCTCCCGGTGGACCCACTGTTCATCGGTGCCCGGAAAACGTGTCTCATTCCGTTTTCCGGCTACCCACCCTGTCGTGTCTCATTCCGACAAATTTTTCCTTTTTTTTTAGGGTTTTCTTCGTCACTATATTACTCTGAGTTATCACTGGTTATCCCCCTCCCTATATACTTGTCTCTCCTCTCTTTCCTCTGTGTCTATTCCTAAAAATGTAGGTGATGCCTTGGCCCACCCTGGTCGGAGACAAGCCATGTTTGATGAACTGTGTGCTCTTCAGAATAATGGTACTTGGGATAGTTCCTCCTAATGGCGATCGACTACTTCACCAAGTGGATCGAGGCATGCCCACTCGCCAAAATCACCACCGAAAATGTGCAAAGGTTCACCTGGAGGAACATTGTTTGCAGATTCGGAATCCCTCACACCCTCGTTACTGACAACGGCCGGCAATTCATCGCACAGGGCTTCGAGGACTGCCTCCGTGAGCTCGGTATCAAGCATCTTCCGACCTCAGTGGAACATCCCCAGACTAATGGCCAAGCCGAAGTAGCTAACAAGGTCATCCTCCAGGAACTTAAGAAGCGGCTAGGGAACGCCAAAGGACAGTGGGCCGACGAGCTTCCCAGCATCCTCTGGGCGTATCATTGCACCCCCCAATCAACAACGCAAGAAACACCTTACAGGCTAACTTACGGAGCTGACGCAATGATCCCAGTGGAAGTCGGCTCCTAATGGCGATCGACTACTTCACCAAGTGGATCGAGGCATGCCCACTCGCCAAAATCACCACCGAAAATGTGCAAAGGTTCACCTGGAGGAACATTGTTTGCAGATTCGGAATCCCTCACACCCTCGTTACTGACAACGGCCGGCAATTCATCGCACAGGGCTTCGAGGACTGCCTCCGTGAGCTCGGTATCAAGCATCTTCCGACCTCAGTGGAACATCCCCAGACTAATGGCCAAGCCGAAGTAGCTAACAAGGTCATCCTCCAGGAACTTAAGAAGCGGCTAGGGAACGCCAAAGGACAGTGGGCCGACGAGCTTCCCAGCATCCTCTGGGCGTATCATTGCACCCCCCAATCAACAACGCAAGAAACACCTTACAGGCTAACTTACGGAGCTGACGCAATGATCCCAGTGGAAGTCGGAGAGACATCGCACCGACGCCAAGCCTTCAACAGCGAGCAGAACGCTCAAGAGTTAGCAGCCGACCTCGACCTAGTTGACGAGCTCAGAGATGAAGCTCAAATCCACAAAGAAGCCTGCAAGCTCCGAGCTTCCAGAAGATACAATACGCGAGTGCGACCTCGCTCTTTTCGAGTTGGCGACCTGGTGTGGCGTCTACTAGGCGAAGCTCAGAAAGACACATCAGATGGAAAGCTTTCACCCACCTGGGGTGGCCCATTCCGAGTTGTAGAAGACTTGGAAAATGGAGAATACCGACTGGAGGAGCTCAGCGAAAAATCCATACCACGAACTTGGAATGCCACGCATCTTAAGTTCTACTTTAGTTAAATTTTGTACGAATGAGCTGTGCACTCTTTTCCCGCCTTAGTCTTTTATCCCAAAAACAGAAAAATAAGTTTTGGCTGAGGTGAAATATGTTGTGTTACAGTTCGAACTCGACCTAAATTAAGAGCAAGGTAAGTCGGATCGAGGTTCGGATTCGACCTCGTCGTAAAATAAAGTAAAGTATGCCAAGGTTCGAACTCAACCTTGGTCTAATCACAAAATTAAAGTTAGGAGAATATGAATGAAAAGAATGAGTTATTTTATTAGTTGTGTGAATGTGCCTCGTTAAAAACCCTCTCAGCCAAAACTTATTTTTCTGTTTTTGGGATAAAAGACTAAGGCGGGAAAAGAGTGCACCAATTCCTAATTGTTGTTTAAAAGCAGTTAGCAACTTCAAGTTAGCATAAATTTTGACAATAGACGACACCTTTTTGCTTCAATTGGTGGATGTTAGTTGGGTCATATTCTTGATTTGGGCTGTACTTCTTTGATATCTTGTTGACGGTTAAATATATTACTCTCTTTCTATGTAATGCCTCTCCCATCATTCTAATAAAAATATTATCAAAAATAAAAGACAACAAAACTTGATAAACTTTTGTCTAGAATTTAGTGGTCTAATCATCCTAGCAATTTAAATTTTTACTCATCTTTTCTTTGAATTAGTGGAATGTTCTATATCTTGTCTATTGAGAGTTTCTACTTATGTGCTGCCTTCTATGTCACTGTATATACAAATGTATATAAAACGCTCAAAAATCTGTTTTCTTTCAGGATATTGATGTGGATACTCATTACAAAAATTACAGCTTGGGTGTTAGAAAATCTCTTGATGCTTGGTCAGGTTCACAGATTGATTTGGGTTTGGTATGTCTATGCAGTTTCTTTTAGGCAGATTAATCTGTATTTCATGAATTTAATTTTTCCAGCTTTTGGGCAAGTCTCTTGTAAGTGTAAGAGTAAGAAGTTATCTTGTCAAGATGCATCAGAAGTTTAATTTTTTTGGTGCAGCTAATGTAAAAGTCTGTTGCAACAGGAAGTATATAGGATGTGTTTTATACTCAGAGTTCATCTTATGTATACTTATTTCAACAACTGTGTTGTAAGATATAAAGGACTAACTTCATAGATAATTAACAACTATTAACTACAGTATTATTCTACAGTTGACTAATTCACTAATATTCTAAATGTACTAAGGGGTTGTTTGGTTTAAGAAAGCATTTTCTATTTTTGTTTTCTATTTCTATTTTCTTAAAATAGTTTTCATTTTCAAATTTATAAGATTTAGAAACATTTTTGTTTTGAGAACTTATTTTGTTTTCAAAAAATGAAAAAGCTAAAAAATGTTTAGTTTAACTATTTATAAAAAACATTAAATGTTTTTATTATATATTTACAAACAATTTTTAATAATAAAAATATATTTATATTGATATATGTTAATTATATACAGAGCATATCAAGTGAGAGGAGTGTCTTATTATGTGAGATGAGGGGATTAAGTAATAAACTTTGTATTTAAATTAATGGTTGTAATTAGTTTTCAAGTATAAATACTTTTTCTATAAGATCATTACTATAGTTATCATGACAACTACCACCACTCCCTGCCGTCACCATTGTCAATGTGGCCACCACCATCATTATTGTTGCTTCTACATGGTGGTGATGATGATGATGGTGGTGGTAGCAACATCAGAAATGGTGGTTGCAATGATGGTGGTGATGATGCCGACAACAATGGTGGTGACAATGGTAATGACAACTGTAGTTATGATGGCACAGCCGACAACACTACCACCACCACCATTTTTGTCACGTGATGGCAACGATGATGATGATGTTGGCGATAGTGACAATAATTGGTGGTGGCGAAGGTGGTGGTGACATCATCACCATCACTGCCGTTGTTACCATCATCATTATGACCATTGTTGTACCATCACCACTATCACTATCATTGTCATCGGTGAAAAGATGATGGAATGATGAAATCTGGAAAAGAAAGAAATAAACTGCTTTATAATTACGAATTATGTCACTGCATTTTCATTTTGTTAGAAAATATCTTTAATTACTATCATGTTTCAGGTAGAGGCAGCAATTGAATATATATGTCGGAATGAAGATGGTGGAGCAATTCTGGTATTTCTCACTGGCTGGGATGAAATTTCTAAGCTGCTTGACAAACTTAAAGGAAATAACTTACTTGGAGACCCTAGCAAGTTTTTAATCCTTCCTTTACATGGCTCAATGCCTACTGTCAACCAATGTGAAATATTTGACCGTCCCCCCCCTAACAAGAGGCAAGCATGTTTCTTTTGCCAATTTCATCATAGACAGTTTTCTGTTTTTCTCATAATTTGATTTTCTATTCATTTTAGCATCTAGGTTTTGAATGTTTGTTATTTTACTGTTGTAGAAAAATTGTGCTTGCAACAAATATTGCTGAGAGTAGCATCACCATAGATGACGTTGTGTATGTTATAGACTGTGGCAAAGCAAAGGAGACCAGCTATGATGCTCTAAATAAGCTTGCTTGCCTGTTGCCATCATGGATTTCAAAGGCTTCAGCTCATCAGGTATTGAAGTTACAGAACATGATTTTTCACAACATATGAGGTTTATTGCTCTCGTTGAAGATATTACTCTTCAGAGGCTGAACTTTCTGTTATTGTAGAATCCGTTAGCTGTGAAACTGTGTTTGACTTATTGACTCTAATCCCCCTGCCCCCTCCCTTCCCCATTTCCAAAGATAAAAGACAGAGAAACAGAGTAATGTGCAATGTTTTACTTTTACTAATGGGTAGACTTTTCCAGAGACGTGGTCGTGCTGGTCGAGTGCAACCTGGAGTTTGTTATAGGCTGTATCCAAAACTAATCCATGATGCAATGCCTCAATATCAGTTAGCTGAAATCCTCCGAACTCCTTTGCAAGAGTTGTGCCTCCATATTAAAAGTTTGCAGCTTGGAACTGTGGGATCATTTTTAGAAAAGGCACTTCAGCCACCAGATCCTTTAGCTGTTAAGAATGCTATTGAACTTCTCAAAACAATTGGGGCATTAGATGAACAGGAGGAGCTCACTCCATTGGGTATATTATGCTTGGATATACTTGTCTTCTTAAGCATGAGTCTAGGTTTTGGATGTTATATGAGGCTAAGCTAATTTAATACTTACAGGTCGGCATCTTTGTAACATACCTTTGGACCCAAATATAGGAAAGATGCTTCTAATGGGCTCTATCTTTCAGTGCCTCAATCCTGCCCTAACTATTGCTGCTGCTCTTGCTTACCGCAACCCATTTGTCTTGCCCATAAACAGAAAAGAGGAAGCTGATGAAGCAAAACAATCTTTTGCTGGTGATTCTTGCAGGTAAGTCCTTCATAGTGTTCAATTAAATGTTCCTTTCTGGTGGTGTTCATTCAAATATTACTTCATCGATCATGCTAGTGGCTCAATTATAAATATATTTTTGATTCAGTGATCACATAGCCCTTCTCAAAGCTTTTGAAGGATGGAAAGATGCAAAGCGAAGTGGGAACGAAAAGCAGTTTTGTTGGGAGAATTTCCTATCCCCTGTGACTTTGCGGTTGATCGATGATATGAGAATGCAGTTTCTCAATTTATTGTCTGACATCGGATTTGTTGACAAGTCCAGGGGTGCTAATGTAAGCCCCTCTTTTCTTTTCAACTGAAATACTTCTCCCCATCTTCCCCCCAATTTAGTTACCCTCCCTTCTGAAAGTAAAAGCAAGTATAATTTATGGCTCAATTCTGAACAAGTATTAGGAGAGTGGTTATCAAGCATAATGTATGTCTTTGCAGACTTACAACCAGTACAGTCATGATTTGGAGATGGTGTGTGCAATTCTCTGTGCTGGGCTCTACCCTAATGTTGTTCAGTGCAAAAGAAGAGGAAAACGGACAGCATTCTACACAAAAGAAGTAGGGAAGGTTGACATCCATCCTGCTTCTGTTAATGCTGGGGTTCATCTCTTCCCTCTGCCCTACATGGTATATAGCGAAAAGGTGAAAACAACCAGCATCTATATTAGAGACTCTACCAACATTTCAGATTATGCCCTACTTCTATTTGGTGGTAATCTTGTTCCTAACAAAAACGAAGGCATTGAAATGCTTGGAGGTTACCTTCATTTCTCTGCTTCAAAGAGTGTTATCGAGTTAATAAGGGTAATTTTCCTCAATTTTTTCCCAGCCAACTTCTGATGCTGTCTTTATAACTTGTTTTAACTTTTATGCCATGCTTGAACGTAACAATCTCATCATGGTAATGACATATGCAGAAATTACGTGGGGAGCTTGACAAGCTTCTGAACAGAAAAATTGAAGAACCAGGATTGGACATTTCCTCTGAAGGAAAGGGGGTGGTTGCTGCTGCTGTTGAGTTGCTGCATAGTCAAGTCATGAGATAATTTCTGGCATTCATTAGATATTATAATTAGCATAAATTTTGGCAATTTAGGTAGCAGTTTTTATTGATTGCTAGCAATAGTATTCATCTGGAATGTGTATGTGCAATATCTGTTTTTTTTTTGGTGGTTACAAAGGAGATAATACTACTTGACAAGGGAGGGAGAAGGAGACTGGGTCATGATCGAATTTCACAGTGGATTCTTCTCGCAAAGGGAACTCCGTAGCATTGGGCTACATATAGCAATATTTGACTCAGCATGTTATACTTGAATTTCTTTCATTAGACTACACTTTATCTTTTTCATAGAACGTTTTACTTTATTGATTATCCAAGGAAGTTGCAGTTTTCGTATTTACGTTTTATTTTTTTTCCCTAGACTGTTTGCCTCTATTTTTTTTTATTTCCTGCAATTACTCAAAAAAAATTATGCTGAAACTTTATAATATCAATCAGGTTCTGTCCCTGGCTATATTTTTAATGGCATTAATGAAATAAGCTTTAAATGAAATTAATGTTTAGGTATTTATAATTTCAGTGACTTTTTTAATTTTATATGTTCTTAACTAAGTATTTGAAAGAAAAATTTGACACGACTTACGTATTTAAAAGTTACTAATGTTAAACTTTTACCAAATGTAATTAAAATATTTTTTATGCAGTATATTTCCCCTTCATCTCAAATTTTAATATAAAGTATCTTATCAAAATTACAGTTTAACATATAGATGATTTATGTTTATTGAAATTTGTAATATCAATTATTTATGAAATATGATAAACATTTTTCTCGTTAAATTTTGTGTAAATATTCTTATTTATAATAATGTGTGAAATTACATGTTTTCAAAAAATTATAAGAAGGTTAATTACGTTGTAGAGTAAAAGTTCTGTAAAATTATTTCAATCTATAGTATTACAACTACTAGGGAAGTCAAAATTAGTTTCATTAAAAATTCATAATCAATTATAAACTATAAATTTTAAATTAAATGAATATCTTCATATGAACATTTCACATGTTAAATGTTATTATATATAACTAAAATTTATACCAAATTATATGCATAAATAAATAATATATTCAAATATATGAATTATATTTAAGATTTAAGATAAATGATTATTGATAATTTATTTTCTAATTTTAAAATTAAATATATAAATAAATATGTCAATAAAAAATTGAATCAGAAGTTAAAAAAAAAGTCTTTAAAATTATTCTCATCTAAAAATAATGTTAAAAACGTTCCATGTATTATAATTGTTCATATTTAATATATATGAATTGATTTTAACAAATTATTTTATAAAAATTTTAATTTTGTAATTTATCTCTTAAATATATGGTTTTAATGGATATAATATAAAACAAATTATTTTAAATTTGACATTTAAGTTAGTATTATAAAATATTTAAGTCTAAAAGATCAAACATATGTCATTTTAAAAGAAATATTTAAAGTTATTTATAATTGATGGATAATAAAAAAAATTATATAGTGTTAAATTAAACTCATTAAATTAAGAGTTAATCAGCTACATACTGTCAGTGTAAAGATTTTTTATACTAGCAACCAATTATATCTTTTAATTGTGCCATGCCACTGAAAACACATTCACTTTAAACATTGATAAGACAAAATTAAAAGATATAATTGGTTGCCAGTATAAAAAAACTTTACACTGATAGTGTATAGGTGATTAACTCTTAAATTAAGATCATGATCAAGCATATGTCACCCAACATTAGGAATAACTTTTTCTTGTTAATTTTTCTTTCTCACCTTTGTCATTAATAATTTTTTTTAATGAAATAAAACATCAAATAATTTAAAAAAATTAGAATTTGTAGATTTGATTTATATATTAACTATTAAGAACTTTCAATTAAATGGTTAGATCGTTAAAATTTCACATAAATCATAAGTTATTGAGTGAAGTAACTTAAGTAAGAATTACTCTTGGAGTCATTTATATATATATATATAGAGAGAGAGAGAGAGAATGATACATAGATAAATAGATGATAAATTTAAGTTCATGTTAAGTTCAATAAACATGGTCTAATTATTTTATATATATAACTAACATTTTTTTAAAGTAAAATTACACAATTTTTTTGTCAACTATTAAATTTGTATATATTATACTATATTATCACAAAATATCCTAATTTAAATGTCATATAAGGTCAACTTCATAATTAAATTAAAAAAAGAATTCTATATATATTAGATAGAAGTCATTGACTTTACATAATAATTAGTAATACATCTTTAATTTTTGTAATAATATATGGTCGATATGTTTCATCCAAGTTTAAATATCATTGAGTCTTACAAATGACTCATTTATGATGAACTAAACTATAATATGTTGGTCCCGGTAGAACACGAATCTAGAATCAGAGATAAATAGATTCTACACTTAGAAGATTTCCAATGGTCTTTCAAGACTCTCTTTCTAATTCTTTACTTTCTTAGACCATTTCACATAATCACATTTAGATTACTATTCAATTAAGAATAACAATATCATATTTATTACACAGTGAATCAATTTCTTTGTAATCCAAATTGATTTTAATAATTACCTTATTTCTCTAATTACCAAATTGCATATATTATACTCAGAATTTTGAATAAGCAATTCATAACATTCAAATAAACAGTTTCTTGAAATTCTTTTTTATCAATATTAACAAGAATTATATCAAGATATGAATGTTAAGAGAGAATTTTCACAATGATCTATACTGGTTGTAACACCCTGGTTGTCATACCTTATATTAATAATATTTTAGAAATTATTATAGTATGTTAATGTATTTATTTTGGAATTTTTGGTACTATTTAAGTATTCATATGAGCATTATTTTGTTATAAAGCATGATTTGTAATTATTATTTTGATATTTAATGTAATCATTTTAATTTTTTAATTTTATTTAAATAATTATATGAGTCCTATTTTATTTATGAAACGTGATTTATAATTATTATTTTGATTAGTGATATATAGGTAAATTTTATGAAATGTATTTTATTAATAATTATGCTTATGTTATTTGATTAAAAGGAAGAGGTATATTTTAATTATATTAATTATTATATGGAAGGGGAAGGAAGGACGTGATGGTCATTTGATTAATTATTATTATTATTATTATTATTATTATTATTATTATTATTATTATTATTATTATTATTATTTATTATTTTTAAGAAGGGAGTTATCAAGAGTTAAGAGACGTTACCTTACGCTTCATTTCTCCTGACTTCTTCCTTATTCATTTCCTTTCTATGCTCTCTAAAGACCAAGGAAAATCAAGAGAAGGAGACCAACCAGATTCTGCCCGCGCTTCATCTTCTACTCATCCAGGTAAGGAGGGAGTGAGAAACCTCACTCAAGGGTGTGAGTATAATTGTTGGGTAGTAGGATTGACCCTCAATTCCCTGCTTGGTGCATTCTTTAAAAACAAGCAAATTATGAAAGTTTTCTATTTTAATATTTGAGTTTTCTGTTGGGTTCCAAGTTGGATGTAATGTGTGAATATATGTTTGATTTCAAAATTAGATAAGTTTTGATATGAATTAGAGTGCTCTATTTGTTCCTGTGGGAAACTCTATAAGAAATAATTAGGGGTATGATCTTTTGACAAGATTTGAGGTAGTTTATGTAAAATTGAGTATGGATTCATGTTCTTGGTGTTATTTGAAGTGTTTTTACTAATTAAATGATATAATTACGTGTTTGGTTGTGAAATACACAAGATTTTGCAAAGTTAAGTAATAGTTAAGTTGGGCGCAAGAAAGTTTCGCTGGGTAGATTTCTTTACTTTAGGTATGACATTTAATTCACCGGGCGCGCTGGGCGTGATCTATGATGTTTTACATGTTTTATGTTTTGTTTCAAGGTGCAAATTGTGTGGGAATTTCCTTATTACTATGTTAACGCAAGTAATGTATTTTATGAGCATAATAAGGAGACAAATCTCCAAATGATGATCTTATGAGTATGACTATGAGAAATGTGGAATGTGAACAAGTGACATGAGACATGATGTGAATTACATGCTATTATGAATACTATGACTATGAGAATGTGAAACGTGATGAAATGAGATAATACATGAAATTCCATGACAAGTAAAGTGACGAGTCCATGAAGTGTGAATGTGTGTGACATGCATCATGTGCATCTATGTGATGGGTACATCGTTAACGAAGGCCCTCCTTATGTAATAGCTTGGGGAAGTCCTAGGGGATAGTGCAATTTAGATGCTCGATTCTGCCCGTTTATGAGCATGAAACATAACTTGCATAGCTTCGCTATCTCGACCAGACCCTAGTCCTCCATCACCCTAGCAGTACATCCTTCTAGTCGAGAGTGTATGGGTAGCTCCCTACATGTACTCCTAGACTACCTTAGTTGTGTTGTTTAGGCAGCACACCAGTGATATGTGATATGTGACTAGCACCACATGTATGCATTTATGAGTCGAGTCCTTGACATCATTGCATGATAAGTGAGTGTGCATGTGATATTGATTGTGTATGTGTATTGTTTATATGTGATGTGTGCTTGTGACTTGTATTATGTTTGTTGTGGGTGTGCTGTCTAACAATTATTTCTGCCCCTGAACCTAAGTGAGATGTTTCTCACTCCCCTATTGTTCTTTGTATGTGTTTAAATTGTGTTGTAGGTGATCATCAGCACGAGGATGTTAGTGATGAGGCTTAGGCTTTAGTTGGGCATGCTCTAATAGGATATGTGACATCAGGGCATAGCTAGTCTTAGTTTAGGATTTCATTATTGTTATTTTGTTTTGGAAAAATCCATGTTACATTTTCTTGTAAATTCCGCATTTGATCATGATTTACGTTTACGAATGTGAATTCTCTACTCTTATGTTAGTGGAACCATTATTTTAATTCAAAATATTTTATTTACTCTAAGAATATGTTTTTATAATTATTATATATGTATGTTAAGGTAGAAGGTGTCACGTTTAGTGGTATCAGAGCCTGATTGATTCAAACCGGACGTGTGTGTTATGTGCTTATCATGATTCTGTTGTCTACTTTGACAATGTTTTGCTTGTTGTCTGCTTTGATGATGCTTTGCTTTGTGATGATGATGATGATGATGTTCTCTTTATGTTGTTGCTGTTGTATTTAATTAGGTGTTTCTCTTTTTAGAATAGGGCTGGTGAACATGATAGAGCATAGTTGATCCTATTATGATTACTTTCTTCATTCTCATGATTGCTTATTTATTTTGATACTTCTTGTTTACATACGAAGTAGTGGTTGGGTGGTATCGCTCGTGTTGCAAGCATATGTGCAAGTA